CCCCTTATTATTATATATATATTATTTCTATTAATAAACTAAATTAAACTAAATAAATTAAACAAATAAAAATAATGAAATAAAAATAAAAAAATTTTCTTGGGTGTTGCAAAAATTCTCATGCAAAGAAAATATAATAATAAAATAGATTTATTAAAAAAATAATATAGTAAAATTATCAAAGTTTTTAACCAAAATTATAGTCAAAGTGCACATTTGCCTAGTTCTTCTTTCTTCATTTTCTTCTTGTAGTCTTAGGTTGACCAATAGGCTTGCTCTTAATTTTATATTTGTATGATCTTAGGCATACCACATCCACATGATTTTCGCATCTATATCATGCATAAAGGTTTCATATATTCATTTGATCACATTAAAAAAAGTCGTAAGAACTAACATAGGTATCAAGCATGAAAGAAAACCAAAAAAAAAACCTAAATGGACATACCTTGGTTGAAATTTGACTAGTTGTTTTTTTTTTCTTACTTTTTCCTCATCTTTTCTTACTTCTTAATTAATCTTTAGACTCTCTTTGAAGTTTTCTCTAGCAACAAAAAGTACTTTTAAATATTTTTAATTTATTTTCCTGAACTTTTAAAGAACTCTAATTGATTCTTAAAAAATATTTCATTTTTTGAGTGCTTTCATATTTAAATAAAAAATACTAATAAGAGTGGCTAAGATTTTAGTTATAAACAATTAAAGATCATTTATGATGGGAAAAAAAAAGGTGAGAAATATTTTCCATGTTAATCCACATAATTTACTAATTTGGGGGATAAAAACATATTCAAAATCGTTAAAATCATAAAGTTCTGAGGAAGAAAAATTCTTTATTTTTTATACTTTCTCTCGTTTACTTTTTTTTTTCTTTTTACTAACACATTCAAGCTCTACAAACTAATTTATTAGTTTGGCAATGTATGACAATAATAGTGGGGAACAAGAGTTGTCATTGGACATTAGTTAAAGCTTAATATAGCTAAGCTTTTATATTGGCCAGTGCTATCTGATTGTTGGACCATGTATAAGGATTACCTTTAAGACCTAAGTTAAAAAGGTCAAGCTTTTCCATAAAGCTAGGATTTATGTGACTTATGTTCCTCTAGTTTAAGGATGTTATTGAAGTCTTTCAAAATAGTCAGAGCAAATAGTGGACTTGGGAAAAG